AATCCTGCTTTCTTAATATGGAAATGGAATATATTATGTGCTTAATATGAATGTCAATTATATTAGTAAATGGATTATTAATAATAGGGCAATTAGCCCGCTAATTGGCCAATTAGCTTGCTAATTGGGTTTTCCTATTGCAAACGGTTAATGAGAAAACACCGTGGGCGATGACCTCAGGCAACGCATACAGTTTTTAGGAATAAACCATGTTGGATCAATGAACAATTACACACGACATTCTCTTGAAAACTGTTTGGGTTACGCCACCTTGAGCAAGCGTTTTCTTTGGAGTGACTGTGTGAGATGTATATACGAACGGAAACGTTTAGTGGTGACTGACTGTGTGGGATGTACTTACGATCGGAAATGATTTCGCTTGTATAATTGTATTTTTTTAGCACTACTGTATGTATTTCTGTATTTGAGTGCTCGCCGATCGCACACGATCTCATTTTGTCGAGCGTGTGTGCCAGGACGGCATATCCCTGACGGTTTTTGAGTCATGTGGGAAGGACCCCCTATCGCCCACACTCACTTGGCGACGGTTCCAAATGCCGTCACGGAAAGGGGTAAAAACCGTTTGTTTAGGACCGACGCGTACCAGTGACTCCACCCTATCGTATGCCTTCATCATATATATCTAGCTTCAAGGCACAAGACTGATGTTTCTTCGCCCTGTTCCGCTTCATAAAATGCAAACACTCATAGGCAGTTGTTATGTTATCTGTGATAAGTCTACCTAGGACAAAAGCTAACTGCTCTTGAGAAATTATATCTGGCAGGATTAACTTCAATCTATTGGAGATCACCTTCGAAGCAATTTTGTAAAGAACATTGCACAAACTTATCGGGCGGAACTGTGACAAAAGTGTGGGATTCTTTACCTTTGAAATCAAGACTATGATAGTTTTGTTGATGCATTCACCCGACTCAGTACCTTCAACAATTTTTAGGACTACCTTTGTGACATCATTGCCGCAGATGTCCCAATGGCATTGGAAGAAGTGGACCGGGAACCCATCCGGCCCAGGTGCCTTTATAGGAAACATTTGAAACAGGGCATCTTTCACTTCTTCGTGGGTATATGGGGTGTTCAGGATATCATTCATTGCTGGTGTTACCTTGCTGTGTACCGTGACTAAGACTTGATCCATATTGTGAACTCCTTCCGATGTGTACAGATCCTTGTAGAAGTCTGTTGTCATCACCTCCATCTCCATGTTATCTACTGATAGCTGCCCGTCCGATTTTTGCAATGACTTGATTAGATTTTTCCGGCGTGGGCGACTTGCTTTTAGATGAAAAGAAATATGTATTCTTATCACCATGGACTAGCCAATCCAGACGCGCCCTCTGTCGCCATAAAATCTCCTCTCGGTGAAATAGCTCGACCAGCCTATCAAAGGAAAGATAGAGGGACATCGATACGTGTGGAGGAGCGGGCCATATAAACGGACCAACGAAGCAGCGAGTCCACAGGCCCGATGTACCACCGCGAACGTAGGTAGTTCCATCGAGCAGCGGCCCAAGAGACGAATGAAACGCTCAAACGGCGTGCGATCTATGCAATCGGACGGCCAACAACGACGAAGCGCCATGGAGGCTTATAGGTCGCCCCGTTGTATTGTTTCTCAATTTGTAGCTATATAATAATCAAATGCAACATATTATATCTATTTAAATTTCCAGTTAAAATTTTGTCAAAAAATCGTGCCACTAATCCCCGCAGCAATGTGCAGGATATCATCTAGTATTACCATGTTGGAAGAGTCATAAATAGATTAAACAGAAGGTTTTCCCTATCTTGTCTTAGAGATGAGGTATAGTTACATATTTTTGGAAACAGAGACATGCCACCTACCACGTCGGCCAACAACCTGCACCCAGCCCCATCGTGCCGGATCACGCGCCGCGCGCCCGCAATGCCCCGTAGCCTGCGCCCGGACCCGTCTTGCAAGAGCACGCTTAGCCCGCTCTCGTCACCCAGCAGCCTATGCTCGACCCCTTGGTCTTTGGGTTTGAGTTGGAGGTTGACAACCTTTCGTCCCTGGCCCACGGCCTCGAGGAAATATAGGACTTGCACGACCCCTGCAGAGAAGAGCGGGCAGGCGAGCGCGTCGAATTAGCCGACACCACACACAGTAACACCAAACGTGTAGAGTCTGGGGCCTGCGTCCCCGCCGCATGCCATTTTGTAGCCATATTTGAGGATGTTGCGGGCCGCGAAGCGGGCATAAGTCAATCAATGCGCTGGAGGTGTTTGTCAGCCAGATGGACGTCACCCACTTGTTTTTCATCGGTGCTGAAGCAGAATGAAGTCTAGCTAGCTATATATAGTTAGATAATTTAGTTTTAAACTTTCACATTTCACCTACATAAATATTACTCCGATATTTGATCTTATAAATTAATTACTTTCGTTCTTGATGAATAATATGTTTAAATTTATCCTGTAAACAACTTCGCTCATAAGTGATTATTAGGAGCCATTGATGATGCTACAAATCATAGCACGCAGTCATGCAAGCCAGGTGTGTGCATGTATCGCACACAATGTGCCGAACTGAAATATTAGTGACGTGCCCAATCATCGCACTCGATTAGATTCCCTCAACCGTGTGCTAAAATTCACACACAATTTGTTCCCCGAATCACGTGGGATGTTGTCAAGTCATCGCACAACAATGTGTAATGTATCCCACACGGTTGAACAAAGTCAATCGTGCATTATGGGTCAGAGATCACACATGGTCCCTATATTTGCACACAGTTCATATTTCAAATGCGTGGTCATCACACATAGTTGGCTTTATAGGGCTTAATAGGACCTGCACCAATGAAAGTTAGATCTAGTAATGTTGAGCTGAGCTTCGGTCCTTAATGCGACCTAAAGCAGTTTAAGTGATACGTGTCCTAGTTTTCTACGGAATGTGATCCCTGCCTGTTGTCACATCAAGCCTAGTCACCCATTTGATAGATGCGGCACGCGGAGCTCGCTGAGCGTATGTTACACATGCACATGCTCTAACATGTCGATTAGGTCCCCGCCAAAAAAAACATGATCATTAGGTGTATTTGTTTCTAAGGTAAATTCCAAATTGTTAGGTACAATAGTATATTTCCTTTTAACCAGATGGCAATTGCACACCTTCTGAATCGGAAGGATTGGGTAAGTGAGTTACTACGCTTGTACTGTGTGTTAAAAAAATGGAAGGATTGTCAATCCTGTAATCAACGTTGTAGCCATGAGCATTTTAGTCCCGTATTATTTCTAAAACAGTGACTGGGTCGCCACGCATGAAAACTACACAAGGAACAGAGACTACATTTACTAGGACTAGCAGTATAGGATTTTTTTTAAAGGGTGTGGCTAGGTCTCGATCGACTGAAACTTAACCAAGTCTAAGAGGGTGTTTGTTTTCAAGGATTTATTGGTTTAGGGACAGGGCCGGGCCCATAGTGGTGCCAAATGTGCGGCCCGCACAGGGCCCATAATTTTGAGGGGCCCCAAATTTTTTATATAGACATAGTAATTTTTTTTAAAAAAATGCCAAAGCTCTGCCGCACTGGGCCGCTCGGCGCTGGAGTTGGGCCGAGTCGAGGCCGTCGAGCGCTGGTGCTCGATGGAAAAAAGGATCGCTCGATGTTCTCAAAAAAAAGGAAACTGCTCCTCCCCTAAAAAAAAGGAAACTGCTCCAGCAGTTGATCGGGATCGCCTCGATCTGAAACCGCAACAGCAGTCCCGTCTGTGGCGCAACACGAAACGAGATCGTCTCGTCGGTTGTCGCCTTCGCCTCATCAGAGCGATCCAAATCGAGCTGCTGTCGTTGCCTTCGTAGCTGCCTCTACTAATTTTCAGGGATCGATACTTCAGTCCGCTGCAGTTCTTTTGCCCTTGCTACAGGAAACGACATCGCCTTATCGGATCAATCCATGACCGACTGGCCGACTTCAGCATCCAGGTGCTTAGCGAATCCTCCTTTCCGATTAACTTCAGTTCCTACTCCTAATTCCTAATTTCCTAATTAACTTTTAGTAGGAATCGTTACTTCGTTACAGATTGGTTCTTATCTTCTCGGTTAAAGATCACCGTCTAGTAGTTCAACCGGACAAGACCCAAAACTAGGTGAATTAGACGGTTCGTTTAATTGCAAAATATTGACGCATGATCTTCAATTGATATATGATATTGTATAACTTCAATTTTACTTCATTCATCTTTTTTATCTTGTGTCTCAATAATACAGATTTGAGTCATCATGAGAAAAAATCAGTCTGGTTCCTATAAGTACAAAGAAAAGAAAGAAAACGGAATTTAATTAGTACATCTTATATTACACTATAAAAAATTTCTGCAAGATACAAAAACACCATAATTGCTTGTTAATTTATTTTTATAGCAAGATAGGGCCCACTTTTTTAGTTTCACACAGGGCCCCAGATTTTGCTGGCCCGGCCCTGTTTAGGGACTTAAAAAAGTCCTTATAAGTCTCATCTAAACCAAACAGGAGGTACTTATAGGGACTTAAAGTGGGCATTTGGGACTTATAAAATAAGACTCTCAAGGAGGGACTTATCGGGACTTATAATTGTAGTATGGTCTTATAGAGACTTATAAGTCCCAGGAACCAAACAGGTAGGGACTTGGGACTTATAAGTTGGGACTAAAAAAAGTCCTAGGACTTATGAACCAAACAGGGCCTGAGTCAAATGACATAACTTGCAAGAAAGCAAAAAAAAAAAAAAATCCACGTATCTCCATGTAAGATCCCACGAATATAGCATCGACTGAGACTTGGTAATCCACTGAGATTTAGCAATCCGGCTTTTTGAAACCCACATGTGAGAAAAGCCGAGCAGATGGATATAGATGCATACGCATCCGCTAGCTTCACGAGGAAAATTGTGTATATATGTACCCCACCGACCTGCCCCTCTTGGATAACCCAGCTACCAAGCAGCAGTAGCACCTCGATCAACACACAACACAAGGCAATATGCGTTCAGCTCGCCACCTCCACCTCCCGGTCTGGGCCCTCCTTCTCCTCCTGCACTTCTCAGCCTTCGTCCCGGGAGCCAGAGGACAGCAAGAAACCGGTGAGCAAAAAATTTCTATAGATTAACTCTTGTCTTAATTAACTCTTCCGCCATTGATTAATTCCTAACGAGTACTTACATCTCTTGCATGCAGACGATGAGTCGGAGTTCAGCTACGACTTCGGGTCGGAGAACGGGCCGGAGAACTGGGGCAAGATCAAGGAGGAGTGGGCGACATGCGGCACCGGGCGGATGCAGTCGCCCATCGACCTCTCCGACCGCCATGCCGCACAGACGCCGAACCTCGGGTACCTCAACCACTCCTACCGCTCTGCCAAGGCCTCCATCGTCAACCGTGGCCATGACATCGCGGTGACGTTCCAGGGCGATGCCGGGAGCTTGTGGATCAACGGCACTGCTTACCACCTCAGGCAGGTACACTGGCACTCCCCCAGCGAGCACCATCTAAACAGCCACCAGTACAGCCTGGAGCTCCACATGGTTCACCTCAGCACCGAGAACAAGGCTGCCGTGATCGGCCGCCTCTATAAGATCGGTAGGCGCGACCATTTCCTGCACAAGGTACGTAATTCTGTCCAACTCCAGTTCTTTTTTTCTTCTAAATCCTTGGCCGGATTTGAACCAATCCGTTGCATGCAGCTAGAGCCTTACCTGCGGAGGATGGCAGGCACGAAGGAGAAGGAGGAGAACGTCGGCGTGGTGGATCCCTGGGAGGCGAGGGGCGATGGTGAAGCCTACTACCGGTACACGGGCTCCCTAACCACGCCGGCGTGCGGCGAGGGGGTCATCTGGACCGTCATCAAGAGGGTACCTAGCTTGCTACGTTGTTAATGACTTTTACCGACCACATTTAGACCATGAATGCTAAACTTACTGACATACGGTCACTAACGCCCCCGATATTCTCTATCCAAATTTTAAAAGTAAGTATGTGCTTTTGCAGGTTGCTACCGTGTCGACTCACCAATTGAAGCTTCTCACGGACGCTGTACACGATGTAATTACGTTATTCTATTGATTAATTTCCTCAATCTTTTTCAAGAAAGCAAAGTGCATATATTTGTTTGTTTGTATTGGGCGTAGGGCTTTGAGATGAACGCGAGACCCCTTCAGAAGTTGAATGGCAGAGATATCAGCCTTTTCTGCGCTCATGATGACCACGAACGCTATTACGCAGCTGCTGATTATTAATTATCTCTATACTTGAGCCAACCTGACGGATTGATAGCATGTATGTTAATGTAAGATAATATCAGTATATATCTTCATTTGACTAGCTTACAATTGTCGGCGAATAATTGTTTCTACTGAAAACTATATATTCAGGTGTTGGCAATGGCGAACAAGAGCAATGACATGGAACATTGCAAACGATCGTGACTCTGCCACAAGCAGGGATGTTTGTTGGCCTTAGCATGGTTCTTATAGTTCCCTAATAAAGTCAAAGTCATAGACGTGTTGTTGTTGTTGTTATCTTCAATACTTGGATAATTAAGAAAGCACGTCACTCACGGCATTGCCATTTTCTTGACAACATGTGCTAGACCATAGTTTCTTGGAATCATTCCATAACATATCCAGTCTAATGTGTCATTATATTATGTAGTATCATTGTCATCTTTAAGTTCAATGTTTCGTTCTTTTCAGTTTTTATTTAAATTTATGTATTAGTATCCTTCAAGAAAGTGTGCTACAGATCTCTATATTTGTTCCCCTTCCTTCTTTACCACACTATATAGACGGGCTTCTACACCCAGTTGGGTGAGATTGTGCTACTATATTCGTTGTTGTTGGCTTGGTATCATGCATGTGCATGACATGCACGTTTTTCTTAAAATTAATTCATGGATCTTATCATGAATGTGGACCATGCATGCTGCATGCATGTGATGGACTAGGCAGTTTGCACACACCAGGGGATGTGCATGGGCCAGCCAATAATGCCATGCATTATAGCACACCTGTGTGTCGCAATTCACAAAAGGACCGTCCATAGAGCATCTCCCACAGGCTACACGAGATGGGATGCAGGAGCATCTCCCGTACGACGTCGTGCTCAGTTTTCCCGGGCCCTTGTCAATTATCCGTGCGTCTAGGTAGGACCCGGAGATTCACATGGTTATACTACAAGACAGAGAGAGCGCGTTAACAAAACTAGATTTACGTGATATATTTGTGCATACCTTCGCCGATTCTGCCGATGTCCCATTCATGAGATTTATTTCGCGGCTTGCACTCCAATATCAACCTGCTGATTTGCCGAGTTGGTAAGAGAATGCGGCGCAGATAGAAAAATCCAGGTAGATGTATTCAAAATACTAACTACCACGCGGAGGGTCTGCGGCTGTTTCCCTACCTACTCCGATGTCCCTTTCATGAGAATAAGGACACCGAAATTCATGCGCCATATTCCACTTCTTCTGTCTGGCTTTATTTAAAAAGCTAGCTAGTAAACGCAAACACATGCAACAACTTCTTTGTCTTGTTGGCAACTCACTCGGTTGGTCGTCAATTAGTCAGATGCCCATACATCTAAGATTTGCTCCGTCTGTTCTAGTCTTAGCAAATATTGTTGAGCACATCAAATTGGCAGGCTGAGCATCTTTCCCAGTCTGAGTTTTCAGTGGATAGAGACGTTGTTGTCGACTACCACTACAGGAAAACACTTTAAAGCCGTGTACCCAAAGAACTCGGCTTATGTCGATATAAACTCGGTTTATATATAAGCCGAGTCAAACTCCCGGCTTATATGACACGGTTTACATTTGATCGGCTTATACGCTATAAGCCGAGTGCCACTGGGAAAACACTCGGTTTACTTATAAGCCTTGTGTTTATACGAGGCTCTCGGCTTACTAAAGTAACATGACGGCAGCCGGGAGATAACGGCCACGTGTCACCGTTAGTATAAACCGAGTGCCTAACAGAGCCGCGCGGTTTAAATATAAACCGAGTGCCTGCATGAGCCACACGGTTTATATATAAACCGAGTGCCCACGAGCACTACACGGTTTAAATATAGACCGAGTGCCTAAGGGAACCACATGGTTTAAATATAAACCTTGTATCTGCACGAGCTGCACGGTTTAAATATAAGCCGGGTGCCTTTGTACACGGCTTATAGGACATCCACGGTTAAACATATCCTATAAGCCGGGTGCCTGCATCTGGAACACTCGGCTTATACAGCTCCCCGTGGCATAATATGCCTATAAGCCGGGTGCCATGTCCCTGGGGCACACGGTTTATATGCCAAATACTAGCATATTTTTTTCCTGCATGCTTCAGCGAGCAGCAGCAAGATGGCTTATATATCCAGCAATATACTGATCGATCCAGCAAGCAAAATGACCAACAATATATATTCAGCAATATATTGATCCAGCAAACAAAATGACCAACAATATTTATCCAGCAATCAAAATGACCAACAATATATATCCAGCAATATATAGATCCAGCAAGCAATATATATCCAACGGAAGTCCACACATGCGTACATATGCAACAATAGTTCGCAAACAAAAGGATCATAAGTTCCAAGTCCACACATGCGTAAATCATGTATGTTATTATTCCTAATTGAGCAATCGATTCAAAAGAAATTCACAGGATTCTGCCCTCATGAGTAAATCTACATACTTTTTAGCGCACATTCAATATTCTGCGAGCAAAAGTTTGATCTTACACTGCAAATTTTGAGCTTTCTCAATAGAATCAGAAAACAGAACAGCAAGTGCTGATTGCCTACTCTTATGATAACTTCAATTAGAGCCAAGTCTGGTGGGATTTGTCCTGAAAATAAGTAAGAAAAACATAGAAAATGGCATTAGATACAAACAGAATCATAAGACCATTGCTCTAAGAAAAAACTGGATAGCAAATGAGAAGGATGAGACATCACTGAAATTATAATTTATAAATTGCATGGAATCTCTAAAAGGCTTATATTTAGGAACGGAGTGAGTATATCCACAAGCATGGACCAAAAAACACAACATTACTAAAATGTCTTTCTAATTTTGATGGAGGTACTGCCTAAAGTGGGCAAGAAATCCCAAATTAGAACACCAGGAAGCGAACCTTTAAATTGAATATTTATATTGGAACAGAGAAAATAACATAAAACAGACCTGATAAATAAGCCACTCGATGCAAGGGTGAAAAATAAAAAGGAAAAATATGCAACAAACATGTCTGAATAATGATCTGCAATCAAGTAATTTTAGAGATGTCATTTTGAAGAGAATATCTTAAGTAGAGCACTGCATGTATTTCTCATACTACGTGAAAAGAAAAGGCCATACTATGCAAACTACATATGGGCATATTTTTAAAAGGAAACTTTCTCAGGTTCAAGCAGACATAATTTCATTTTGTTCTTAAGACGACATATGGATATATTTTAGAAGTAAACTTTCTCAGGTTCGACCAGTCATAATTTCATTTTGTTCTTAAGACGACTTCCATTCCAGCAAAAAAATTGGCGACAAAGAGACCTTATTTTGGTTCTAAAATACACACAGAAATATCAAGTATATAGCAGCTGAAGTGCTCCTTACCTCCTCCCAGTAGCTATTCAAAAATACATCGGCGGCGATTGCAGCTTCCAGTATCACAAGCAAGAATACAAAGATCACGTGCTACATACATGGCAGGTTAAGGCAAAATAGTCCATATCACCAAGACACAGTACATCTAAGGTCACAGAGCTCCAAGAACATAACTGGGACTTAAGGTTTCAGCAAACTATTATTAGGAGTCAACAATTCCAGTTCTAAACTTAACTGCTAGAGACATGACCCTCTTTTTGAAATATCATTTATATTTTTGAAATGGATATATCTGGAAAAAAGCACGCAAGGATTGGTCTTTATGTGACAAACCAAAAGGCTTTGAGGAATTTTGCTAAACCAGTAGCAGCTGCCATGTAAGCACACTTAAATAGGCTAACGCAACTCCTAGTATCAGGCGCTTCCAAGGACACACAAGACAGGCAGGGGCTGTTTGCAGTTTCAGCGGCGATGTGGCCCGAGCAGGTCAGCAAGCACATGATGATTCCCAGGCGGAGAAGAGTGTAGATAAACATGCATAAAAATTGATCTCTTAATCAAAATAGCCATCCCATATTACATACAGTATATTCATAGAGCTGTTTTACGGTGACTGGGCAATACTTACATGTCTGATCACGTCTGATTTTTATTAGCCGTCAGATCTTGCGGAGAATTTTAATTGATTAAATTTAATATGTTGCGATAAGGGCATAATGGTCCAGGGGGGAATATCTTTTCTTGAACCGATCACCTGAGGACCAGATCCATGTCTACTCGATCTAGTTCAGAATCCTCCTCCGATCTATTCGTCGCCGCTCGCCGCTCCTGACCTTCTCCGTCCTCGACCTGCCCGGCGAGAGGAATAAATTCATCGTCCTCGTCCTCCACCCAACCAACCCCAGCCCCCCACGCCGTCACCGAAGAAGAAGAAGGCCGGATCTGCGCCGGCTGAATCGGCGGCGACCGCGGCGGGCGATCCCATCTCTTCGCGCGTACCATCCTTAAGGTATGAATTCGGCTTGGCGTTCTGCTCGTTCTCTTGGCCGTTGCGCCCCTCGACCGTGCATGCAGTACAACCTCAACCCCACAAGATCCGGGTACGGACTAGAACAACGAATTGAAAGCTTCATCGTGGCATAGTTTCTCTTGAGCTAATCGCATCATGTTTGTTTAAGTAAGATGTTGAGGGCATTGCTTACTTCCTTTGGTACCGCAGAAAAAAAGTGACTTACTTGACGTTTGAGATGAGATATACTAAAGGAAGATGAGATACTGGTTCCATAGTTCACTTAATTTAGTTTATTAAAGTAATCATCACTTTAGATTTGCATAGTGCATGAAATATAGCTTAAAGGAAGATGAGATACTACTTGTTGGACGTTGATGATTGGTTTTCCTCACATGTCAAACGAGCAAAGTCTTTTCCATGCACTTGTCTTTGCCTATGAGCTATTTTACACCTGCAACATTGATAAACAGAAAGATGTTGATGATTGGTTTCCCTCACATGTCATATGCAGGAAGACATGGTGTATGCAAGTGATGAGAGTATGTTCGAGTATGTAAATGTTGTCAGCAAGATGTTTGATAGTGAGGCTGAAGGCTATGAATTCTACAACAAATATGCTCTTGAAA